ATATATTATTATTATACTGTTTTTTTTAATTATTAGCTTGCATTGAAGAAATATGGTCAGGCATAAACATTACACCAATTTTCAAACTAACCCTAATCCTGTACTAGCTATACTATATTCTCAGTGGGCACGGGACGTAATAAGGACGTCTTTCAAACGTCTTTTGAACGTTTTAAACGTTTTTTGAACGTTTTGGACGTCTTTTTTAGGTCTTGTGCCCGCTGGGTTTCTTGTCCCGACTAACTGAAAATAAGTTACATTCACAAAATTATTGTATGCAAGCGCACAGTCGAAGAAAGACCCTATTTTATTAACATGCATGCATAACAGGATGATCGAGAAGCTTTTACGGATCATTTTTAATGAATACTTGTTTTTAATGATGACATTCGTCCAATACTTCTGTTGGGCTAATAAGGTCCAACAGAACAATAATTGGTCAAAGCCTGTCAATAACATTGTGATTGTGATGCTTTTTTTTTTTTTTTTTTGTCGAAGGCTGTTGAGATTTTACATCAAATTATATTTGACACCGCTAAAACTTTTACAAGTGAATTTCAGCCAGATTGTCATGAAAGATCAGTACCAACAAACCCGCTCAGTACCAACAAACCCGCTTGCACTCGTTACTATGATATTCGAAGGTCAAGACATTGACATACAAACCGATCAAAATAACACTCCACTATAAAGCCAATTACTTTTTTTTAAGAATGATGCTGTCAAAAAAGTAGCTGGCAGTAAAAAAAGTAGTTGGTGTACCCACCATCAAGTCATAGAAATATAATCTGAAATTAACATGAGCTAACATATTAAAACAGTTTTTTAATAAATAAAATTAATATATATTTTTTTTTTAATAAAACAATACTGCATTTTAATCTTTGGAAACTCACCATTACAATTGCAAAAAAAAAAGGTACATTTTGAGCTGATGATATATAATATGGATAAAAGTTACAAAAATTTCTTTAGTTAATATTAAGTAATTAACAACTAAAGCGTGTTAAATTTAAACGTTTTCAACCGATACCAAATATCGGTTAATTAAAACGTGCTGAATTTCGTTGAAATTCATCACTCTTTAATTGTTTGTTATTTAAAAAGAACCAATCAGATTTTTGTAAGTTTTTGGTACAAAAAGCTAACTGAGTTATTTACTTCATTATTTTTTAATTGTTTTAGCTTAATATTCTAATAATCTTTAATTATTAAAAAAAATATTGAACAAAAATTGTCAGGTTGTTAAGCTAATCAAACAGCTGTGCCATGAAATGCTCTATGATTTGTTATAGCTTGTTGTGGTCAATATAATCAGTAAATAATTATTTTCACAGTTTCAAAGTAAACACAACTTGAAACCTATTGCGTTAACCACACACTTCATTACCAGTTCAGTTTTCAGTGCAAGTATACGATCTATACACACTCAAACAAATAGCTTATGAATGAACAGCTTATAAACGTGAATAGCTTAACATAAACAAACATGAATAGCTAAAAAGTAGTTAAAATTAACATGACTAACGAAAAACTACTTAAAATCAACATTAATACCTAAAAAAAATATGATTAGCCTAAATTTAATAGCTTATAAACAACTTGCATTAATAAATAGCCGCTTGTTCTTGAGAACAAACGGCTATTTATTATTGTAAGAAATTGATGTAAAAAAGTGTTGTCTAATGCTTAGCTCCATTATTCTCTGTTCGGATTTTTTTTCAGAAGTTCTCTTAAAATTTTTAAACAGCGTCATTGACAAAAGTACCCTTAAGTCTACCATTCCATCTCTAATTCATGGGACTGATCTTATTATCGTTCCAAAAAATAAGGCTGAACTGTTTTCAAAGAACTTTTCTTCTAACTCGACTCGACTAAATTTTATGGTTATACTCTTCTTTCCATTCTAGTCAAACAGATTAATAGTCTAAGAGCTTGTGTTGCCGCCAGGCCTACGTTATTTTATAAAAGCTGAAAATTTCTTAGCGCATACTCCAAACACAAGTAGAAAAGATGGTCAACTATGTACTTTAGATCATGGTGGCTTCGACTAGTAACAGGTACTTAAGATAAAAAAAGTACTTGCTTCTTTTAGCATTTAATAAAAGTTGGAATCTAAGATAAACATTGTAATAAAAATGAATTTAAAAAATGGTTTTAATAGCTATTTTGTTTTTTATTTATATTTTGAAGAAAATATCTTTGAAAACCATTTTTTAACTTTATTTTTATTACGATTTTTATCTTAAATTTTAACTGTTATTAAATGATAAAAAAAACTTTTTTTGACGCAATCAAATAGTAATTATTTTCCATTTAAGTTATGTGTAACTAAGGTTTTTGCTAGAAAATTTCTAGATATAAAACTGACAATATCGCTTTTATTAATTACAATTTTTCAAAGCTTAAGGGTGTCTGGCAAAGGTTTACTACCATGATAAGTGTCTGGGAATGGATGGGATGATTTCTAATCCTACTATGAATAAAGTTGTAAGAAAATTAAATTTTATATCTTGACGTAGTTTAACCGGTATTTTAAAAACCTTTGGTACCTGTACCAGTCAAAACCACCTTGATCTAAAAAACATAAATGACCATCAAAATTTTTTAACTTTTTAAAACAACGTAGGTCTGGTCACAGGCTCTTGCTTAATAACCCATTGTTATACATTCAAATTAGTCCAGCTTCAATTGCTATAGGGTAGATTAGGGTAATATGAGCATACTTAAAGATTTATTAGATGTAAGCAGTGAAGTTAAAGTTGCTTTATGTTTTTCGAATCAAATTTTATTTTCTACATCTCTTTTTTTGCTGCTGAGTGGAATAATGTTCTCATATTTGGGCTGCTTTGTCTAAAAATGATCTTTCTTTTCTAGACAAAGTCCAAAAACGTATTGTAAACGTAGTTGGGCCTAGGGTTAGAACTATTGTTATTGTTATTGTAAAAATTAAATACAATAACAATTACAATACAATAATATTGCATTGTAATACCAGAGATGCAATTAAAACATTATTTATGGTTATTGTATTGCTGTGAATAAAAACAGTTACAATAACTATTGTATTATTTTTTTTTCTAACAATACACTGAAGCTCTAAAATTATTGTATGACATTAACTATTGTATTGTATTGCTGTGATGTAAAACAGTTACAATAAGTACATTGATGTATTATATTACTATTTCAAAGTCTAATAGCTATTGTATTTTATAGTATTTAGACTCTTTTTTCACGCATTTATTATTATTTGGGCACTAGATAATTTAGGGGTACCCGTGACGCTCGTTTTCAGCAGTCATTTATATATAGAAATTTTATTTATTTTGAGAAGTGAAGTGAAGCCAGGGAAGCCAAAGAAGTTTATATACTACGTATACTTAATAAATATTAGGTTTCTAGAAATCATTTACATATATAAATTTTATTTATTTTGAGTTCAATAATATAACTATTTCAATAATAATTTATTTAGAATTAACATTAATAATATTCATTCGAAATCATACAAATATATAATTTATCATATGCTTGTAGTTAAATAATTATTTACTTTAAGAAGTAAAATTTTTTATTTTTTTATAATTTTGTCTAAACTGGTTTCACCGGATAATGACGTCTACACTAATTGATTAACTACGTTAAGCGCTTTTTTTTTCAATATATCTAACCGCTAATGTGTAATCAATTACATCGTTATGGAATCAAAGAACCATTAACCTGAGTAATTATCAATTAGATTGTCTGAAAATGTGAACTACTTTTGTTTTGTTAAAAAATTTTCTACATTTTCAGATTGTTCATCACCTATCAGACCGTACCAATAAATTTTGTGTGGATCATTTTTGAAAAATGAGGCAGTTTAGAACACCAAATAAATATTGGTTCTTGATTTATGTAAAAAAACTCTTTTATAACTTTGCAACTAGATGTCTAGTAACTTTATGAAACACATATAGCCATAAAGCCGAAAGGAAACAAAAGACAAAGTTATATTAGAGTAAGTGTAAGTTGAGTAAGTTTTGAAACAATTGGGTAGGTGTCTAATGTCAAAGCAAATAACTAAGTGAAAGAAATGATAGTAATTGATCATGTCTATCCCTAGCAGTAAAAGAAATACAGGCCCGATTAAACTCACTTTTATAGAGCTATATAAAGTTTATAAAATAAAAAAGAAACAGAATCAATACTTATATATTATTTGTACCTTATTTCAAGGTCACTTATCTCAGAGACTGGACTGTTAAAACATTTATTAAATTTTGACTCTAAAATAATTTTTTTTATTACAATAAAAATATATTGATATTGTATTATAAAGACAAATTACAATACAATATTTATTGTTATTTTAGTAGGTCATTACAATACATTTTTTTTTTCAGATATTGATATTGTTTTATAAAGATGAGTTGCAATAAAATATTTATTGTTATTGCATTACATTATTACAATAGTTGTAAATCACAGGTATTGTTATTGTTTGTAAATTAAGATAATACAATAACAATAGTTATTGTTACTGTTTTTGTTTTTGTTACAATTACAATAATCCTAATCCTAGTTGGGCCCGCTCTATCTATATATATATTTTAGTCAGTTCTGGTAATGCCAATTTATCTTTTGCCAATACCTCAAAATGATCAGCATAAATTTCTGAGTGAATGGTAAAATTTTTGTTCTTTTATCCAATTGATCAAAATTTCAGTCATTTGCTTATCTGCGGCATTATATGTTTGATCGCCATGTAACTTCGGTAATTTAAGAATAAATAACAAAAAGTAAGCGTATTTCAATTTATACAAATCTTTTTTTCTTATTTGTTGGATTTAAAAATTACACAAGAATTACAAAAAAATGTTTATTTAAAATCTGCTAAAATAATTTGTTTGAAAAACAAGATTTCTAAAATTATGTGTACAATTAAAATAGACAAAGTGTTAAATAAAATGATCAAATTTAGTTTATTATTAAGACTTACCAAGTATGCCAAATAATTAAGAGTTACCAAGTATACTAAATAATTAAGAGTTACCAAGTATACTAAATAATTAAGAGTTACCAAGTATACTAAATAATTATTACTCTTTTTCTTTAAAGTCAGTGAAATTTTAAAATGCTAGAACCTCGAGTATGCGCGGTGCGTCACTAAACTATATTTAAATTACTATATTATATTTAATTGCCCCTCACTGAAAATATTTTTTTTGCATATAAAAACTTCAAAATCGTGCATATTCATGTTGGTATGCAGTAACCGAAATTATGAGATAGTATTAAAAGTTCGGTCAAAATAGCTGTTGAAATCGAAGTTTATAGCGATTTTGTGATATACAAAAAAAAAAAAAAAAAAAAAAATTGATAACAATTGTCAAAAATATGTTTGTCACAAGCACTTCAAAATATGTTTGTCACAAACACCTTCAAAATATACAAACTATTCAATCACAGTAACAAACAACAACAGATATTAAACATCGTCCTTAAAACAAGATATTAAACAACAGATTCGCATTTAAGCGAATTAAAAACGCAAAAGTGATTTACAAATACATTTACATGGTTTATGCATGGAATTTTAGATATTTATAAGGTATTGAAAAATATTTAGTTTAGTAAAAAAATTCATTTCATTAATTGTTGATTGATGACTTTTAATAACTTGCAAATTATTTTGGAACATCTAAAACTTCAATTTTTATATTTGTAGATGATGCTTTATAGACAAGATTCATGCAGCTGATAAACTTATCTAGAGATTTGCTTTCATCAATACCGAGCACTCTCTCTTGTAACAAATAATCGTATTTAGTTTTAATATGCAATTGAATTGAGTATTTAGATACGCAGAGAATTGCATTCTCTGATTTAAACGCGTGAACCACTCTATCAACTAAAAGTGAAAACAAAAAAATAAAAATAATGTAAAAGACATTGGATAGTTAAAACAGTGGTAATTTGAAAATATAAATCTCAGTTACCTCCTTTAAACTTTCGCATTTTATCAAATTTGTTTTTAGAGTAGATTGGTAAACAATTTTTAGATTTTTCACAATGATGTTTTGTCTCGGACTTTCTTGAGAGACTCCACCCAAACAAGTCTAATAAATAACATTAAATAAACGATCAAAACAAAAATTTAGTTTCTGCTAATTTTGTATTGTTATTATTCTAATAACTAAATTATAACTTACTTTTGTTTTTATTATATTTATATTTTGTATAAAAATAAAACAACTTTGTACCTTAATAGATTGTGGCAACTTATGCTGCATTACGTCAGCATTTAACCAGTGAACTATAGCTTTTAGATTAAAATGTCATAGTAAAAAAAAGATAAAATATTTAAAAGTAGTTTATTTATTCCTGCTGATTGCAAAAATTAATAAATTTTCCAATGATAAATAATTTAAACTTAAAAATTGATTTGTTAACTTTCAGTTAACAAATTCTCTAATCTGGACAGATTAGAGAATTTGTTGTTTTAGACAACTTTTACATCATTAATTTATTTACCCAGTTTACCATAATGAATCGTATCTAAATGAGGCTACAACGCAGGTTTGTTATCTTTTGACTTTTTCGATATTTTTTTGATATTTTCGAAAGATAATAATAATCAAATGCGGTCACAAAAAACATAAGGTGGTAATTTTTTGCAACAACTGTAAATAGCTAAGTCTTTATTAACCAATTTTTATGCTTATTTAAATTTTTTATCATCTACTCTATATTATATCTCCTCTATATTTAGCAATATAATAAACTTGTAAATTTGTTGATGATTCAACTTAAGATAAAAGATTATAAAAAAAAAACCAAGGCTGTGTTATTGCTCTATGCCGTTTACAATTGCGAGTTTAAATAGTACATTGTTCCTTCTTCAACTTCTTTTTTAATTTTGCTCCATGAATGTTTAATTTCATGGAGGAAAATTAAGTAATGTTATGTAAGGCATAACATTTGTTCTTCTTCAATGTAACTTTTTTAAAAAACATTTTTGTAAATGTATTTAGAATTTTAGCGAGTTAATAGATATTTTCAAACTGTTTCAAACTTCACAACATTTTAACATTTCGGCTAATATCATGACCTTTCCGTATTTATAATAAAAAAAGGTCAGGAAATAAGATCAAAAAGCATACAACTTTTTTAAAATTAACGATTTACTAATCACCATTTAATCTAATCTGTGTGTGCCCAATAATATTGGATATCAAACAACTAAGTTTTAGTAATCATGAACATTGCGAAAAGTTTTTTTTTAGCATTAGTCAAACAACATTTAAATTAAAATAACCATCTAAAATCTTTTGTACCTGAAGAGTATAGAAATGAAACGGAAAGTTTTTTAGAAAATATGGAGCTTAAAAGACCAATATCGAAATAAAAAGCTTATTAAAAAATGGAAAAATATAAAACGTTTCGTTTGGTTCAAGTATGGTTTTGATATGGAAGTTCAACAAACTACCACTAAATACAAATTCCATTTTTAATATATTCAAATTCTTATATGGATTTGTTTTTATATTAAAATTTAAATTTTTAATTTTAATATAAAAACAATAATTTTTAAATTAAAATTAAAATTTTAATTTTATTTAAATTATATTTAATAATTTTTATATTAAAATTAAAATTTTTATATTAAACTTTTTCGATTGATTTACTTGAACCCAATTAACTAAATAAAAAATAGATTAACTACTTTTAGATAAACTTTTTTATAAATATAAATATAAGATTCTATGAATTAAGAGCCGTTTTTTCTCATCAGGCAAATTCCTGAAACTGTGGAAGTGACCTCGTCCAAATTGCTTGAATTTTTTATATATTGATCAGAATATAGAGAAAACCTGTTGGGGAAAAAAAAAAATTTCAAAAATGTTTCGTTTACTCGGAATCTGGGCTTAAATTTTTGAGATTTTTCTAAAAAATTTTTGAAATTTAGTTTTTGCCACCTTTGAACCCATTTTTTTGGCAAGGCAAAAAGTTGCACATAGCTTTTGTAGTTAATATCAGACGTAACCCAAAAGCTCTCTCCAAAAAATAAAAAAAGTTGCGTGACACTGTGCGGTTGGCTAATTATCATAGTTCAAAAGTACAAAATCAATCAGCTTTGTCAATTTTTAATCGGAGTTAATTCTAGCGGCGAAGTGTTGCACACAATTTTTCTTTTAGGATTTGAAATTATCAAAGGTATTGAGTCTAAAAATGCAAAGAAAGTTATGTGATACCTAAGGCCTATTAATATATTAAGGCTTGAAATTGAAAAAAAATGTTTTAGTATACTTACAAAATGAACCATTACGGCAGAGGCGCTTAGTTTTGTAAAAATGTAAACATATCCAACTGTCAATACAAAAAGGTCCTAACATAATAATAAAAAAAATTTGTGTGATTTTGTCACACGCATGATATAACATGAATTAAAAACTGAACAAAAATCTAACATCAAGATAACTATATTGCTAATTAAATAAAACATAAATCAAACATTTAAATGTTTTTCATTTAAAAATTAGTTTTTCATTTATTAATAGAGTCATTTACACATATTATCCACCACATCACACATAATTTCTACTCTGCTGCAGTAAGTTTCTCTAAGAATAATGATATGACTGTATTATAGTCTTCTTCGGATAATGAATAATCGCCACAACCACTGATTAGAAAAAGAGCATTTACTAAACAGATAATTTTATCAGTTTGGTTATTTATCTCCTCGGTAGTAACTAGCCAGCGAAAAGTATTCTTCTCTTGCCCGTTAATCATACAATTAACTCTGATCCCAGTTATAGATACCTAAAAGTATTAGCGCAACATTTAAAATAATATAATAAAGAGTTTATGATTTGTTTAATTTTGCTTACATTCAATAAAACTTGTAAAGTCTTATATAATGTCATTCTGAAATTATTTTTACATTTTATTTATATTCCTTTTATTTTAGAGCACTGTTTTGTAAAACAAAATAAAAACTTGAAACTAATATATACTTTGAATAATATTACCTCCACAATATATCCAATATTCCATTGTTTTTCATATGCAACAGCAACCCAATCATTCACTTTCCATACAAGACAAATTTCTTTTGCAAGATTGGCGATTTTGCAAGATTAACTTATCTTAGTAGTATCTTCCAGATATTGGAACTTCCTTTTTAATCTAAATTTTATTGGACTTGCATTAAGAACCTCAGTTACACTCTCACGGCTTCTTAGAGATTCGTCTAAAATCTCCTGTGAAACATTAATTTCACCGGGATCCAATTCTTCATCTGGAGTAGCAGGTGTCATATATGTTTGTTCTTGTTGTGTTTGTGTTTCTGTACATAAATTGGTGTTTTCGTTGACTCTAGATAAAGCAGTTTCTTGCTTTAAATGGGTAAAACACAGCATTGCACTAACTGAAAATACTTCATTGTATCGCTTTGACATTGATATGACGACATGTATTGGTGACGCCCTTAAAGCATGGAAGTTTTTTTTCCTTTTATATTTAGTTGGTGAGGATGAAAGCATGTTTTTGGAGGACTCCATGCAATACCAAACGTATACCGGTGAAAAGCACATATTTGTTCATCCTTTTCAAGATTTCTTTTAAGTCTATTTGCAATAAGTCCATTTTCTTCCCAAATATTATTATCGTTTAATCGCATTGACCTAAAAACAATTTTTTAAACAATTATTAAGTGTGTCATTTAAAGCATTGTTTATAATCTGACTTTTCACGAAAAATGTTTACAAGTTTGAAATACATTGTTGTTATTATTAAAATACAATATTGCAAGAGTGTGATTAATTTAGTGATTATTTATTAAAAGAGCGAGGAATTAATTAAAAGAGCTATTTTTTTTGTTTAAAGAACTTTGTCTCAAAATCTTATTGCAGAGAAGTTATAAAGTATGTAATTATAAAATTATATTACAGTCTGCGTAAATTTAAAATACATAATTACCTTTAAGTTGATGAGGTGTTTCTTAACATCAACATCTCCCAGCTGATGAATGTAGAACATTTTGTTTATAATTTTATGTTTTTTGAATGATCCACAATTTCCTTTTGAAAAGCAACAACAGTTTTCATAAAAATATTTGTTTTGTTCCATACTCAACTAAAAACAAGTTCTATTTATGCAGTACCTATTTCTCAATAGCAATGATAAAATATCTACTCTATTTATGCAAATTTTAAAGATCGTTAAAATAAAGTTAAGACATTTTTATGGTAAAGTAAACAACCGCCCACTAACTTGTTTCTCCACAATCGTGATATCAGCGATTCTTCTTCCATTCGATCACCACAAGTTATTTGGTTATGACGTAAATTTAAAAAATTCACTTCTGATCATGTATTGTTTTTTATTATTATTTATTTCAATTGTTATGATTTCTATATCATAGTCAGAAACGCTTAAATTTTTTCTTAACATTACGTGCAATGTTTTGTGTAATGCTAATTGCTAATTTTGGATGATAGAAATTTTATTGTGAGCGAAAACCTCATCTGTGTGTCCAAAAAAATATCTCTTCGTACTTAATCATTTTTAACAATTTGTACCTTTATTTTTAACCTAATATCTAAAGATCACATGAGTTTTTTTTTAAACTATGTTAGGGTCATCTTATATTGACCATTTAACATGATTATATTTTTACAAAACTTAGCACCTCTGCCGTAATAGCTCATTTTGTAAGTATACTATAACATTTTTTTCAATTTCAAGCCTTAATATATTAATAGGCCTTAGGTATCACATAACTTTCTTTGCATTTTTAGACTCAATACCTTTGATAATTTCAAATCCTAAAAGAAAAATTGTGTGCAACACTTCGCCGCTAGAATTAACTCCGATTAAAAATTGACAAAACTGATTGATTTGTACTTTTGAACTATGATAATTAGCCAACCGCACACTGTCACGCAACTTTTTTATATTTTTTGGAGAGAGCTTTTGGGTTACGTCTGATATTAACTACAAAAGCTATGTGCAACTTTTTGCCTTGCCAAAAAAATGGGTTCAAAGGTGGCAAAAACTAAATTTCTAAAAATTTTTAAAAAAATCTCAAAAATTTAAGCCTAGATTCCGAGTAAACGAAACATTTTTGAATTTTTTTTTTCCCAAACAGGTTTTCTCTATATTCTGATCAATATATAAAAAATTCAAGCAATTTGGAGAAGGTCACTTCCATTGACTGCCTGATTCTTACAAAAAATGACTCTTAATGAAAACGTTCAATTATTTTTTTTTACATTGAAAATTATTTTTTCTAAAAAATAATTAATAACATACATTTGACAACTTACTTTAAACAGAAAATAAAAAAAAACAAAAAACCTTTAAAACGAGCCATTATAAAATCAACCATTTCATTATCTTTAGGCTGATTCCGAAAACTTGCACGAAATTCACTAAAAGCATTGTTTAAAATGGATATAATAATGTTTATAATAACCCAAGTTACAACAACATTAAATCAAAAAAAAAAGACTGGTCCAAGAACAGAATTAGCATCTTTAAACTGATCAAAACTAAACTTCCCCAATAATAACGAAAATATGGAAGCTGTTGATTTAAGGTGGCTTTGATAGCCAGCTAAAAGTGGGCCTAAAATTGAGTATACAAAATTATTTAACAAAGAAAGAGAACTTTAAAAACAGTTTTCACTACTTTTCTATCATGTTATAAAATAATATATAATTTTATATTTATTTACAGATAAAAATATTTATAGAAAAAAAAATCTAAAATGAATTATTTTTTGGGGTGACCTATTAAAAAGTATGTGAATTAGTTCTTTTTAAATAATAAAAATTTTTTAATTTCAGTTTTTGCGTTTCTGTTTATTTGAATAATATGATATGAGTTTATTGTGATGTAAAAACTTGTTAATATTTTTACTATAATTACAATTTTAACATTACAAAACATTCTAATATATATATATATATATATATATATATATATATATATATATATATATATATATATATATATATATATATATATATATATATATATATATATATATATACATACATGTATTTATAAAGCACGTGTTGCTACATTGACTATCTTATAGCCTGCTGCTACAAGGGAGTGTTGCTACATCGACTATATTAGAGCCTGACACGCAACAAAGTTCTGCTACATTGACTGACAAATAGCCTGACTCGCAAGGGAGTGCTGCTACATCGAGTGACAAATAGCCTGACCCGCAAGGGAGTTCTGCTACATCGACTGACAAATAGCCTGACTTGCAAGGGAGTACTGCTACATCGACTGAGGGTTTGGTTTGGGCAGGCAGTCTATCATTTAAAAAAAATTTTAACATTTTCTGGTCAGGCTTATTAACGCGCTTTAAAGAGCGCGTTAATACTTTGTTGCGTGTCAGGCTCTAATATAGTCGATGTAGCAACACTCCCTTATAGCAGCAGGCTATAAGATAGTCGATGTAGCAACACGTGCTTTATAAATACATTAGTAATTTATAAAACAAATTTTAAATATCAGTGAAGATGAAAAGTGTTAGCCATTTTTTTTGTAATATATCAATTTTTAACAATAAAGAAATGTGCTGAGAAATTTTTGAAGAATATTTTTTCACTAAAATTTTACTTTTTGTATAATTTATCACCGCAAAGTTTTATATTTTTGTTTTATGTATATTTTATATGCATATAAATTTAAAAATTTATATACTTATAAAGTAAATGTATAATAAATAAAATAAAATTTCAATCATGTGACAGTAAAAAATAAAAATATAGAAATGTATCTATACCGAAAACAATACTTGATGTAGTTGCAACAGAGCACAAAATTATGAAAAAGATTATTCCAAACATGGTTAAAGGGTACCAAGCAGCTTTAAAAGTCAAAGAAAGCATTGAAACATGTTGATTGAACTGCAAAAATTTAATAAATTTTAAGGTTACAAAAAAAATAATAAATGATATAACGTAAACATATGTCAGGTTCCAGTAAGAAGCAAACTGGAAGTTGATAAAGACTTGCGTTAATTCGTTGCATTAATACCTTGGCCAAATAACCTTAAAAAATATGCTAACTTTATTACTTGTAATATCTTTATATATATAAAAAAAAGACAAATTCACAAAAATTCACAAAAATTAATGAAAAAAAAAAATAAAAAATACCTTTAAAAAAGAAAAACCCAATTGCTATAATTTAAAGTAATACCAGCACCATTTCAACCAAGTTCCAAAACTCAAGAAAGTATTTAAAACCAGTTCGATATAAAAAGCGACTTTCTCGAATAGCAAAAATTATGGTCATTGCAATAAAAAAAATATAAGAACAAAAAACAGCTTTTGATTCTGTCACTGGTAACTTGAATGTAAGAACAGAGAAACTAGGAACAATTCCACCACAAGCAGAAAACTCTAAAACTATTGTAGTCATGGTAAAATAATTAGTAGCGGCATTAAATAGAGCAAATTCAATTAGTAAAGCTCGTGTTTGTCTGTCAATCCATCTTAGATTTTTAATATAATTAAGTTGAGCCTTGTTATTCCATTTAGGAAATATTTCTAAAACAAAACCTCCACCATTGTAAGTGGCTAAATCAGCAGCATAAGGATATCCATCAAGTTCATGCCATATTTGATATCTCCAAGGCATTGTAAATGGATTTATAACAGATTTATATTTTATCGGGTGTGTCCAATTAAAATAAAAATCTTGAGTTTCTTCAACTGTAGAGCTGTACGAAGATGAACAATTTATTTTGAAAATTTCAGCAACTGAATTTGCTTTCATACAAGAATCTAATAACCAATTAAGAACAAATTTTTTTATTTACATAAATATACCAATACTACAAGTTTCAGTTTTTTTTACAATTAAAATAAAAAGAAAAAAAGCTAACTATAATTTATGACTCTTTTCTTTTATATGATTATTTCCATACTCAGGTATTTTTTCTTATTTATTTAATAAGATGCAATATTTATTAATGAAATTCTCAGTTCTGCAGTTTTTATTTTCTAAATTTATTTTAACATTAATATATTTTTTAGTTTTACCAAATTAAAAAAAAATTAAATATGGTTTTAAGGTTAGTGTAACCATATGTTTCTTTTGTGTGATTATACTTTGTGTTTTTAAATATTGATTACTGCTTTTATGTGCATTTAATGAGTTCACACGTACCAATTTAGCAATTATGATCAGATTCAGATTAACAAATTTTTAATTTTTGATTATGAAATCAGCACTCATAGCACTAAGCAACTGTACTACGCCTTTCATAAAAAATGTAAAAAATTGTTTTATAAACAAGCTGAAAAATTCAACTATTCTCAAATAAATGCACTTTTTTTTTTGCGCATTTAAGTATGAACAACAGAATAACTAGATGAACAACAAAATAACTAGATGAACAACAGAATAACTAGATGAACAACAGAACAACTAGATGAACAACAGAATAACTAGATGAACAACAGAATAACTAGATGAAAAATAGAATAACTAGATGAACAACAGAATAACTAGATGAACAACAGAATAACTAAAAGATTTTTAGCCCCTGAAAACCATTTTAGGACTAAAAAACTTTTTCTCTCCATGGTTAAATACTATCAAGCAACCGTGCCATGGACCGTGCCATTTAAGCAGCCGTGGCGCAGTGGTAGAAGCAGCCGTGGCGCAGTGGTAGCACACTTGCCTCAGAAACGTAAGATCCGTGGTTCAAACCCCGCCTCTGGGCAAGTTTTGCGACATCGGTTGGGAAGGAAGCGTGAACTTCCTATTAAATGCTCTTCCGCGGTGCTCTGTGATAAGACCGTAAGGACTTCTTAGGGCACCTAAAAAATCAACATAAAAAAAAAAAAGTATGGTTATCAGAAACCGTGGAAGGATGGTTATCAGAAACCGTGGAAAGATGGTTATCAGAAACCGTGGAAGGATGGTTATCAGAAACCGTGGAGGGATGGTTATCAGAAACCATGGAAGTATGGTTATCAGAAACCGTGGAAGGATGGTTATCAGAAACCGTGGAAAGATGGTTATCAGAAACCGTGGAAAGATGGTTATCAGAAACCGTGGAAAGATGGTTATCAGAAACCGTGGAAAGATGGTTATCAGAAAAAAAAAATTTAATTAGAGGAAGAAAAAAATATACAATATGCTAAAATGATTTCTAATGTAAAACACTTTGTTAGCCATTTATCTGTATATCAATGAAATTAATCAGCAATTTAAGAATGGCGAGGAATATAAAGAAAAGATAAAAAAAAATTATCAAAAATATTGGTTATCCTAAGAAAGCAAGTGATGTAAGAAAGAATTTCCATCAGAAGCTGATTACAACCTTTCAATAAAAGGAGTAATAATTGTTTCTAATCCAAAAATGTTAAAAAGTAATGGTTAAAAAAGTATAAAAATCAGGGATCATAAAATGCAAGGATTTTACTAAAGCATGGTCGCAACTAAATTTTATGATAAAAAAGAACTTTGTCAATGAATTTTTATATTTTTAATGTAGAAAAATATTTTTTATTTCAAAACACAAAAATTCTGGTGACGTCAGGCTCGCTTTTATATCGAGTGAAGGCCGTTTTCCACAATAAGGACTGAAGTTCCCGAAAAACGGTTCTTCGGTTCTTCGGTTCTTCGGTATTTTTCGGGGAATCGAAAGGAATCGAAGGTTTCGGTTCCTTATCAGAATAGGAATCGAAAAGAGCCGAAGTTATCGGTTCTTTATAAAAAAGGAATCGAAAAGAACCGAAGTTATCGGTTCCTTATCAAAATATGAATCGAAAAGAATCTAAGTTATCGGTTCTTTATCAGAATAGGAATCGAAAAGAACCGTAAATTGATTACTAACCTTTTTTTTAATAATATACTTCCGTTATAATCAATATTTTCGATTCTTTTCAATATTTTCAATATTTTCGGTAATTTCGATTCTTTGTAATAAAAACGGTAAATTTCAATTATTAATTAAAAAATCGTTTTTATTGTAAAAAATCGTTTTTATTACAAATAAGTTTTAATAATGGCGTGCAAAATTAAATTCAAATTCATTCAAATTTAATTCCTCTCCCCTAAGGGATTAATTAAAAAATCGTTTTTATTGTAAAGAATCGTTTTTATTACAAATACGTTTTAATAATGGCGTGCGAAATTAAATTCAAATTCATTCAAATTTAATTTCCCTCTCCCAAGGGATTCCCCTTTACCAGTATAGATAGTGGGGTTTTGTGAAAATTTAATCAGTTACAATTTATTGTTTCACAAACAACTCTTTACAACAATTTACAATAATGTCTCAAGTTAATAATGCAATTTGGAATTACTTTACCAAACTACCAGAAGTGACAGTGAATTCTGACACCAAAAAGAAAACTTATAAATCAAGTTGTAATCAATGTCAAGCAGTGTTAACTTGCTGCCATGGAAGTACATCAGGAATGAGTAAGCATTTAAGGTAAGTAATGTTTTTTCAATTTTTTCGGTAATTTCGATTCTTTTCAATATTTTCAGAATTTTTGCAATTTAAGTTAATATTAAGTAACGATTTACTTTATAAAAAAATAAAAAAATAACAATAGTTCTGAATAATTAAATAAACATAAGCACTGATTATTATTTATTATACAGTAACAGCTAACAGTAATACTGGTTGTTACATTTAATTTAATATAGCGCCATCTATAGGAGTTATTTCAACTTTTTCGATTCTTTTCAATATTTTCAATTATTTCGGTAATTTCGATTCCTATCCCTATAATTATTTAATTTAAATCTTTTTTTATACAGATCTCAGCATCCCATTCAAGCCAAAGCTTATATTAAGGCAAAGAATGACAAAGTAGTGCAACTGGCTGCTGACAGGGAGGAAGTTGAAAAGGAGCTTGATAGATCTTCAAGTTTGAGAGGTTTCTTTCCAGCCACAACCACTAGTAAAAAAAGGCTGGATAACCTTAGTAAAAAGTCTCCACCATCCAGTCAGCAAGGTGATCATGAAAAACTTCAAGTAACTCTGGATGAGTATGTTAAGGTGAGAAAAATATTGAAATTTTTTAGTAGCTTAAATAATCGTTTTTATAACATTTTACCGTTTTTATTTGTAAATATTCGAATCAAAATCAAGCCCAAATTGGTAAATTGAGAAAAAATATTTCTTCAAAAAAAACTCGGATCTTTTAGGCGCCGTTTGGGCCGTGCAGAAAATTTTTTTTTTCTCAATTTACCAATTCGGGCTTGATTTTGATGAAACTAATGTTAGAAATCTATTTTTATATTAAATTAGAAACTTTTGTGCCCTTTTCCAAATTTATAATATACTTTAAAGTTTAATAACTCTGTAAATTAATAAAAAAGTTAAATTTCCACACTAGACAACAATTTAATGATTCCAAATTAATGTTCTTTTTGCTCTAAACTCAATATTAACAAAGTTATTGAGGTTTAAAGTTTTTGATTTGACCTGTCACCTAACACGTGCATGTAGATTTAGTAAACACGTGTTTTTCAAACGTTTCAAAACTTTAAAGGCTTTTAACTTTAAACTTCTTTGTTTTAATAGATAGAGTGATTAGCACTGTCTCTAGAAACTGCAACAACTTACCCATATATATTAGGTTGTCAGGTCTTGTTTAACGTAATTTCGATTCCTTGCGGTAATTTCGATTTCTTTCGATATTTAACATTTTTTTTATTATTTCAGATAACTAAATGGGATTCACAAAGCAGCTGTCAGCTTGATTTTGATACAGTTCTCACTCTGGCCTGCATCATGTCAAATCTTCCTTTCAATATTGTGGAAACTCCAGGAATGAAGTTGCTCTTGAACTATTTGGCACCAAAAGCAATCATAAAAACACCAAAAACACTTGCTACAACAAAGCTTGACATGATTCATCGTAATGTTGAAAAGGCAATAACCAATCAACTTGAGGAAGAAGTACCAGAATGTGAAAGTGTAGCTTTTACATCAGATGGTTGGACTGCAAAAAATGGTGATCCTTTTGAATCTCTCACACTCCATTATATCAACAGTGATTTTGAATTGAAAAAGTACAGTTTGGACTGCCAGGCTCATTTAAATAGGAAAACAGGTCCTTTAATTGCCAAAGGATTAGACACTATGATTTCAAAATATGAAGTCTTGGCAAGGCCTGACCTAGAAAGAACATGTGTGACTGATGGTGCAGCTAACATGAAGGCAGCTGTCAGTTTAGCAACTTTATTGGACAAGCAATTGGTGTGTGTTGATCACATGTTGAACAATTGTTTGAAAGACACATTAGGAAATGGTGAGGTTAAGGTAATTGTTGATAAGTGCAAGAGACTTGCTCAAAGGACACATCAAAGCACTAAGGATTGGTATGAAATCAAACAAGAATGTGAATCTCTAGGGTGTAATCCAATCAAGCTAATCCAACCAGTGCAAACAAGATGGAATTCAAATGCAATGCTGTTCAAGTCAGTGTTAAGAAATGAGCAAGGTTTGAAGTCTGTCAGAGATAACAGCCTGAATGCAAACTTGACAATACTTATACCAAGTGATGAAGATTTTCAAGTAATTGCAGAACTTCATCCTTTCTTGGCAAAATGTCAAGAATACTCAGAGATTTGGTCCTCAGATAAAACACCTACAGTTCACAAGATCCAGCAACACCTCTTTTCATTGATTACTATGTGCCATAGGACAGTTACACAAAATACTTCAGGTAAAAAATATTTTTTTGTGATTCTTTCGATTCTTACTAATAATTTCGATGATTATCAACAAATTATGCAATTTTGATTATTTATTCATTTTTCTCTTTTCCAGGTTCAAGAATTGCTAAAGATGCAATGACCAGGTTTATAGAATACTTGGAAACTAGGATTCCAAATAAAGGCACTGAAGTTAATGACTTTAATCTTGCAAGTGTGTTTGATCCATTTTATAGAGGTTATTCTATCACATTAATCAAGGGCAACAAAGATCATTTAGATGGAATAATAGACCAACTGGTAGATAATCATCCAACTACCAGAGAATACAATGAGGCTTATGAGGCTTCATTACCTTCTGCAATGCCAAACTTAGATGAAGATATGGATGATTTTGAGAGAATGGCCATGGAAAATGATGGAAATGATGCACCAACTTTGGCAGGACCATCAGAGCCTCCTCTGAAGGTAGATATTCATTTTTATTAATAATAATTTCGATTCTTATAAATATTTCCGATACTTATAAATATCGATTCCTATACACATTTTCGATTCTTATACACATTTTAGATTCTTTGCGGTAAATTCAAATTCAAATTTTTTTTTTAGATGGAATTTAAGAGGTACTTGTCTATGCAAAAGCCAGCCAAGGATGTGAAGGTTTTGGAATGGTGGAAGGTCAATCAAAAGGAGCTGCCATTACTAGCTGCTATGGCAAGGAAGTACTTGTGTCCACCAGTGACATCATGCTCTTCAGAAAGGCTATTTTCATTAGGAGGAAACATTATTAGTGATAAAAGACACAATATGAAGCCAGAGACCCTTCAAAAAATAATGTTCATAAAAGAAAACTTTCCACTAGTCAAATCAAAAATAAGGTCCTGGGACAAAAAATGCCCTGGTGAACCAGGCTATCAGTCTCAACCTCTACCATCCACCTCTCAAGATCAACCTCTACCATCCACCTCTCAAGATCAACCTCTATCATCAACTTCACAGACTCAACCTCTACCATCACCTTCTCAGACTCAACCTCAACCATCTCCATCTACACTAACCCAATCAACCAAACAGAAAAAAATGAAAAGTTTTTTGAAACCAAATGATTCACAGTCTCAAAGTCTACTACAAAGAGCTAAAAAAAGGAAACTTGTACTTAAATCACCAATGAAAAAATCACCAATGAAAAAAAACCCTATATATGATGCATCTAAAGATTTATTTAATACTGAAGCTAGTGATAGTTCTACTAGCGTAGCTTATAGCAGTGCTAGTAGTAGTCGCAATGGCAGCAAGGACAGTGTTACTGATCTCACTGATAGTGATTTAGAATAAATGTATTTTTCAACTGTATTTCAACTGTATTTTTGAAAATAAAAATTTAAAAAATTCAAGTTTTTCAATTCTTAGTAACAATTTCGATTCTTTGTAGCATTTTCGATTTTTTGCGATATTTCCCGCTAAGAACCGAAATTGGAACCAAAATTTACGGTAATTTCGATTATTTCCTAAAATTAGGAATCGAAAAGAACCGAAGTTATCGGTTCTTATGAGAATCGGAATCAAAATTTACCGTAATAACGATTCTTTCTTAAAATAAGGAATCGAAATTTACCGTAATAACGATTCTTGCCTAAAATAAAGAATCGAAAAGAACCGAAGTTATCAGTTTCTTTTCAAATTAGGAACCGAAATTTACCGAAGGAACCGTTTTTCGGTAATTCCAGTCTCTATTCCACAAGACGAAATATTCGCGCAAAGCGAATTCACTCGATATAAAAGCGAGCCTGACGTCACCAGAATTTTTGTGTTTTGAAATAAAAAATATTTTTCTATATAACGAAATGCTATTTTGATTTCCACTTACTTTCTTTCGCGCTACTTTTTTTTCGTTGTCTACAATAAAAATGGCAGCAATAAGTTTACGCTTAAAGGCAGTTATTACTTTTTTAGCATATTTTCTAGTTTGAAGCATGTGAAAGTTTCTTTCCGTGCATTAATATTAACATTTCTGCCTTTTTAAGTAAGATATGATATTATTTTAAAAACAGGAGGAGATATTAGGCTCTTTAATTTTTCTCTAATTACGCGGCAATTTTTTAACTTAGTTTCCTACTTTGGTAATTTATTTAAATTAAGACACTGTGAGGAAAAATAATTGATCTTTTTTTGTTTTGTTTCTTGTGAAATTTTGCGTTACGTAATTTATGCACAATCCCTTAATAAAAAAACTACTAATGACATGAAATTAAAGTTACTATAAATGTGGTAAACGGTAATATTAATAAAATATAAACAAATGGTTAACATTAAAACAGTGAATGTATGATATCTCAAAATTAAAAATTAGTGTTAGTGTTTATATAAATACGTTTACATCTCAACAAACTTTAGGCACATAGAAAAAAAAATTATGCCATTTTTAATTTTATGTTGCTTTTTTTTCCAGTTTTTTAGAAGTGTCTATCAGAACTGAACTTAACTTTCAGACTACGAAATATTTCTGTATCGTAAAGGTTCCTTTTGTCTATCCTACGTTTTTCAATTTTGTAAAATGTACAAGCAGGTTGGTTATAAAGATAGCAAAACAGGTTAGTTAAAAGTTTACATTCATACACACGTATACATATCTACACATACATAAATACAAAGATACAAATATACTTTTATGTACACGTAAACAAAAACAAATATTCATACATGTACACGTACACATTGACATATACGTATATATATGAATAAATGCATACATACACACATATACATAAATATATACATATACATACACAGGTTTTTTATTTAGTTTTTTTAGTTATATATATATATATATATATATATATATATATATATATATATATATATATATATATATATATATATATATATATACATTTCTATTATTTTGGTAATATTGTTATTATTATTTTTTAATAATTTTTTGTTTTAAAACTTTAATATAAATTCATAAATAATCATATTATAATAACAAAGACTGTTTAGCATACTGACTGACATACTGTTTAACGTTTTAAAAAAAGAAGTATATAGAGATTTTAGAATTCGTAATAAAAGAAATAATATAACTAAAAAATAATAACTTTATCCCAACATTTGCAAAAGGTTGGTAAAACACACGAAATAAAAAAATGTTTATTTTCATAGGCCGAAATTTAAAGTCAAAAACTAAGTTTAAAATTATATAATGGAAAAATTGTATTTTTACTTGTATTCTCTAGAGTAACAATAATTACTTAATGTTTTTTGTTTTTCAAATTGCTCACAATGTACATTAAATTAAGTTTTGTTGACAAAAATATATAAAATTGCTTTAGTGTAAAATTTAAAACAATTTTAAAACTTTATATATTAATTTTTCAAAACTAGTATAACTTTATATATATAAAAACTTTTTTACATTTATTAATTTATTAATAAATATAATAAATTTTGAAAAAACGTAAAAAGTTTAAGAAAAAGTAGAAAATTTTTATTTAATAAATGATATAAAATTCATTTAATTGAAATAATTTTTTATAATACATCTAACCGTGGGTCTATTTTTAGGTATTCAATCATTTTCAGAAAATTTATTTTCACGCCAGAAACTACTCAGTGAAATTCAAAATTATTTTTTACAAGATGCAAACAACTCATCTTTAGTATTATATGGAATGTCGGGTGTCGGCAAGACACATATTGCAAGAAAATATAGTGAACTTTCCTATAACTTCTATAAAAACATTGTTTGGATTGACGCAGCTTTTGGAATGTTACAAACTTCAATGAGAAACCAATGTCAAATATTAGGATTAGAGGTTCGTGATTCGAAAAGAGATTATTTAAATATAAAAGTGATTGTTGAAAAAGTTCACAAATATTATAAAAATGAAAAAACTTTGTTTATTTTTGACAATGTCGATGATGAAAGTGTTAAAAATTTTTCAATGTACATTTCAAGAAAACCGAATTCATTCACGTTGATTACCTCCCAATGGAGAACTTGGTCAAGTAATGTAAATAAAATGCTAGTTGATGTTTTTTCTTCTGAAGAAGCATTCGCTTATGTAAAAAATAATATTAAAGAAAACAGCGACGGAAACACAAGAAACTTAATTAAAGAACTTGGTTATCATCCGTTTGCAATTACTCAGGCAATAAAATATATAAATCTACATAAAGTTTCGATAGAAAAATACATAGATCGATATAGATTAAAACCATTAGAAATATTAGACAATAATAATTTTTACACCGAAGAAGAATCAAAGTCTGCAATAAAAGCAATTAACTTAGTTTTAATAAAATTAGAAAAAACTAAGCCTTTTCTATTTAAAATATTAAACTGTTTATCTCATTGCGACGGTCAAAACATCAGTAAACAGTTTATAGCACAAATCTCAAATCTAATGGAAACAAACGATGAATCTTTAATAGATGAAACTATTGGATTACTAATGAGTTATTCTTTACTAAACTGTTTTGATGATAAAAAGTATACAATACATGAACTAACACAGTTAACATGTAGATGTTTTCAAAAAAGAAATTCTAATACAAATACATATCTTGATTTAATCGAAAATTATTTTAAATTTGAATTGAATGAAATAAAAGATCACATGGATTACGGAAATCATTTTGTTTTTCATTTTATCTATATGTTTCGTAGTAACAAAGAAAGATTTTCGGAAACCTTCCATCATATGACGACTTCTATTCACAAAATATTAATATGTAGAGGTTTATTTAAAGAAGCAATCGAAATATTAAAAGCTGTTCAAAATTTTAATACAGAAACTTATGGTGAAAATAATAAAATCACACTTGATACAAAACATAATATCGCAAGCTGTTTGGACAAAATGGGAAAATATAACGAAGCTTTAGAAATTTATTATTCTGTTTATAAAATAAAAACTGAAACTTTAGGTATTAACCATCCGTCTACAATGGCAACAAAACATAATATTGCACTCTGTTTGGACGAAATGGGAAAATATAACGAAGCTTTAGAGATTTATTATTCTGTTGATAAAATACGAACTGAAATTTTAGGTATCAACCATCCGTCTACAATGACAACAAAACATAGTATCGCATTCTGTTTATACAATATGGGAAAATATAACGAAGCTTTAGAAATTTATTATTCTGTTGATAAAATACAAACTGAAATTTTAGGTATCAACCATCCGTCTACAATAACAACAAAACATAATATCGCACTCTGTTTGGACAAAACGGGAAAATATAACGAAGCTTTAGAAATTTATTATTCTATTGATAAAATACAAACTGAAATTTTAGGTACCAACCATCCGTCTACAATTATAACAAAACATAATATTGCATTCTGTTTAGACAATATGGGAAAATATAAGGAAGCTTTAGAAATTTATTATTCTGTTGATAAAATAAAAACTGAAATTTTAGGTATCAACCATCCGTCTACAATGACAACAAAACATAATATCGCAAGCTGTTTGTACAATATGGGAAAGTATAACGAAGCTTTAGAAATTTATTATTCTGTTGATAAAATAGAAACTGAAATTTTAGGTATCAACCATCCGTCTACAATGACAACAAAACATAATATCGCAAGCTGTTTAGACAAAATGGGAAAATATAACGAAGCTTTAGAAGTTTATTATTCTGTTGATAAAATACGAACTGAAATTTTAGGTATCAACCATCCGTCTACAATGACAACAAAACATAATATCGCAAGTTGTTTGGACAAAATGGGAAAATATAAGGAAGCTTTAGAAGTTTATTATTCTGTTGATAAAATACGAACTAAAATTTTAGGTATCAACCATCCGTCTACAATGACAACAAAACATAATATCGCACTCTGTTTGGACAATATGGGAAAATATAACGAAGCTTTAGAAATTTATTATTCTGTTGATAAAATACAAACTGTAATTTTATGTATCAACCATCCATCTACAATGACAACAAAACATAATATTGCACTCTGTTTGGACAAAATGGGAAAATATAACGAAGCTTTAGAAATTTATTAATCTGTTGATAAAATGCAAACTGAAACTTTAGGTATCAACCATCCGTCTACAATGACAACAAAACATAATATCGCAAGTTGTTTGGGCAAAATGGGAAAATATAAGGAAGCTTTAGAAGTTTATTATTCTGTTGATAAAATACGAACTGAAATTTTAGGTATCAACCATCCGTCTACAATGACAACAAAACATAATATCGCACTCTGTTTGGACAATATGGGAAAATATAACGAAGCTTTAGGAATTTATTATTCTGTTGATAAAATACAAACTGTAATTTTAGGTATCAACCATCCGTCTACAATGACAACAAACCATAATATTGCACTCTGTTTGGACAAAATGGGAAAATATAACGAAGCTTTAGAAATTTATTATTCTGTTGATAAAATACAAACTGTTATTTTAGGTATCAACCATCCGTCTACAATGACAACAAAAATAAATAAATTTTAGTGATAAATACAACAAAAATAAATAAATTTTAGTAAATAAAAATAAATAACATTTAGTGATCTTGATTGATTGATTACACAGATAAAAAAAAAAATTGCGACAAAGCTTAGAGTCTTTTTTAAACGGCTGTTTTTATTTTAATATTATTAGGGTAAAAATTTCTCAATAAACAAGGGGTTGCACCCTGCATCACCAAATTCGCTGAAATTTGGCACAAATGTTTAAAGATATAAGTTAGGAAAGACTGTAAATTTTTTTCAAAAAATTCTCAACCCTTTAAGATTGAAGCAACTTGAAGTTAGTTATTTTTTGACTGAAAAAAAGAGGGGGGAAAGGCCGGAAATATGTCAATTTACCATTACCCTTTTAACAAACTTGTAGTAATGTTGCGAAGCTAAAACTTGGTACCAAAGGAGTTTAAAACCTGCTAAATCTGAAAATCATAAACTTATATCTCTCAAAACAATAAAATATAGTTTATTTTTAGATCCACAAAACGCACTTGTTATTGACAATAAAAATGGCAATTGTCAACTATAGTTCTAGAAAAAATCCGACTGATGAAAAAAAGTTTTGGTTTTCGTTATTTTAAATATTAAACATATATCTACTTTGCGAACCAATTTTTATTTGGACTTATGTTTTTTCAAGGAGTGATTGATGTTGTAGTTTTTTAATTTTTCTGAAGATATTTTGCAAAAAAAAAAAAAAAATTGCAAACATATTTTGAATACAAATACAATTAATTTTGTTTTGTAATAGCTTTGTAAAAAATTTACAAAAGTTATTACTAAACATAGTTGAACATTTTATAAATTTGTTTCTTGTTACTTTCATTACATAATAATAATGTCATTTTCATTACATAATATCTTGTCATTAAATTTAACAATATTATGTAACTTTTGTAGTTGATTGTTTTGTTGTAATAAAACATTATCATCAATAAAAAAAGTAATAAAATGGTATAATAATGTCTAATTAACATTACCATGTTAAGTTACATAACTAAATAAAATTATATTTAGTTATCTTTTACTTTTACACAACTTTTTGTAAGTAGTTAATGGAGAATTTACAATAATTAGTAGATAGTTAGGCATTTAAAATATGTCTATTAAACTAATAGCTACTTGTTCAAGCAATATGTTCTTTATAAATACATATTGATATGATATTGTTTGTGTTCAAGTGTACTTTTCTTGTTAGGAACATGATTATTTAAGATTTCTTGTATTAAGTGTTTAGACAGAGATTCCATTATATTTTTATATGGATAACAAAATTAATTGCTGCTTTGTAAATAATTATGGAGCTTGTTATAAACAATCATATACTCAAGAAAGAAATCTGATTGACGATATTGACAGCAACGATTGTAAGCAACTTGAAAAACGAACAAATCTGAAACAAGAACAAATTACTAATATATGCACACACCATCATGATACGTTAGTTGTAAGATATGAGAGTAATCAGAAAAGTTTATGTACTCCATTTCTGAGTCACCAAAAGGTGTGTAGAGGTAAAAATTTATATATTTATATTTCATTAGGTAATATCATTATTAATAAGTCATATAAGTTTTTTCGGTAATAAGATTTGTTCAATGTTTCATAGTTATTAATATAACAAATTGTATAGTAATATAATTACATAATATATATAATTAATGTTATTTAAGTTATGCAATTACTTTCTTTTTAAGCATCTCTACGTGTGATTACAATGCATACTGTTTTAGAGGCAGAAACTATAGGTGTCCAACCTGTCGAAGTAAAGTTTTGACATGTTTATCAAAAAGTGTGAGTGAAAATAAAAATGATGAAGAATTTGGTATTGTTAATAAAAGATCCATTCAAAATAAAAAAGAAAGTGTAGATACACACTTTGCATCTCCAATTAAGGTCAAAGGATTGCACAAGTCAGGTAAAATCAGAGAAGGTAAACGAAAATTGACAGCATTAACAACCTCCATTAAAAAACAGGTAGCCATTTCCCTTAATATATCAGGAGAAAGTTTTGAAGAACAGTCAAGTTTTAATAATGAGTATATGGAAAAGCAAACTTGTTTGATAACATGATGGTATTGTTAACTAACAAAATTGCAGAGTCTACATCAACATCAAAAAAAGTACAACTTGCGACACTTGCTCCAACAGACTGGTCAATAAAAAAGGTATCTGAAACATTGCATGTAACAAACTATGTTGCTCGAACTATGTAGCTCGAACTGCACGTAAGTTAACATTAGAAAAAGGTATTTTAACCATGCCTATATGCCATATATATATATTGCATATATCTATTGCATATATATATATATATATATACATATATACAGTTCAACTGGCCAAGACCTTTTACGAAGACGATGAACATAGCCGTATAATGCCTGGTAAAAAGGACTATGTAAGCATAAAGAAAAATGTCCACATGCAAAAACATTTTTTCTTATGTAATTTAAAAGAATTGTTTGTTGCCTTTAAAACCAAGAACCCAGAAATAAAAATAGGATTTTCAAGGTTTTGCACCTTGCAACCTAAATGGTGTATTACTGTTGGTGCCTCAGGAACACATTCTGTATGCGTCTGTGCTACTCATCAGAATTTGAAACTGCTTTTACATCCTCTTGGTGTGACATACAAAGAATTGTTACCTTATATTGTCTGTGATATAAATAATAAAGACTTAATGATGAGGAAATGTAAAAAATGCCCAGCAACTATAAATGCATTGGTTGAAAAACTTTATGATATACTTGGAGAATTTGAAGATGATGATGAGATTGAATTTGATCAATGGACAACAACAGATATGTTAAACTTGACACATAATAAAGAGCCAGTGTTTGAATACATTGAACTAGTATGTAGAAAACTGGAAAAACTTGCACCACATTCGTATTTAGCAAAGAGTCAAGCATTATACCTGAGATCACGAAAGGAAGATATGAATGAGGTAACAGCATTATTTCTGGGTGATTTTTCAGAAAACTATAAATTTGTAGTTCAGGATGAAGTTCAAAGCTTTCATTGGAAAAATTTACAATGTACACTTCATACAGTGATTATTTATTTCCAAAAAGAAGGCATTCTCAAGCACAAAATTTATTGTGTTATTTCGGATGATATGATCCATGATGTGAACATGGTTTATAAAATTATAGGTTGTTTGCAATGATATAAAAACAAATTTGCCTCAAATAAAAAGTATTGAATACTTTTTAGATGGGTGTGCAGGTCAATATAAGAATTGCAAAAATATGTTAAATCTTTGTTTCCATTGTGAAGATTTTGGTTTTACTGCTAAATGGAACTTTTTTGCAACTAATCACGGTAAGCAACCTTGTGATGTGATAGGTGGTACAGTCAAACGTCTGGCAACACTAGCAAGTTTGCAAAGAGATATGGATAATCATATTTTATCTCTACAAACAATGTATAAATATTGCAATGAAAACATTGAAGGCATAAATTTCATATATATTTCATCAGAAGATTTAACTTTGGTGAGAACCGCTCTTAAAGAACGATTGGATATTGCAAATACAATACCTGGAACACCTAGTTAGCATTAGTTTGTACCACTTGGCCATCAAAAGGTAAATTATTATTTTTTAATTTTACCTTTTACCATATTTTTAAAGACACACATAACTTTTATTGATAAACTCAATTAGATATTAGATTTTTGCAGAATCATTATCAAAAATATTTGTATTTTATCTGCATTTGCTATCTATGCATTTAATAAAACATGTTTGATAAGTAAAACGGAATAATTGCATATGTTACTATTTTGTTTAGGTAGGCACTAAGCTATGCAGTGTTGATGAAAAATTTGCTTTAATTCATGACTTTGGAAATATCCAGATAATAACTGTAAACCTAGTACCAGGTTATTATGCCTGTGTTTCCTATGAGCAAAAGTGGTGGATAGGAGTCATTAAAGATATTAATTTAGAAGAAAAAGATGTGCTTGTAAAATTTATGTGTCCTAATGGTCCTGCACGGTCGTTTAAATGGTCACCAAAGGAAAGCCAAAGCTGGATTCCTGATGTCCACATTATTTGCAAAGTCGAGGTACCGATAACAAAAACAGGACTTTGCTACTATTTAGCCAAAGAGGACTGAAAAAAATTTATTTGCCTAAGGAAGTAGAGATTTTTAAATTTAGTCAGATTTTTTTTTAGGTCTTATATGATATGTATCTTATATATACCTTGTATTTTGCAGCATGATCAAGAATATTTCTGCATGGTGCACTCTGACTGTTGAAAATATTTGCATACTGATATGAGTAAAAGTGACTTTAACAACCAGAATGTATTTTTGATAAATTTTTTTATTTTTTTATTTTAATTCACCTCCTCAAGGCAGAGAAGGCCACTACAGACGAGGAGGCTACTTATTTGTGGTTATAACCCTCTCTCAACTCTATAATTCCGAAACACGAACTTTAATGAACAGGGCCGCTGTGCAGAGAAACGAATTGAGCGCGGGACTACCAGGGACGTGGTGGGGATCGAACTCGGAACCACTCGTTTATGAAGCGAGCGCTCTACCACTACACCACTACCGCATGATTACTAATATTTATATATATATATATATATATATATATATATATATATATATATATATATATATATATATATATATATATATATATATATATATATATATATATATATATATATATATATATATATATATATATATATATATATATATATAAATATATATAAATATTAGTAATAACAGGTTAGTAAATATAATTATAATAATAGTGGTAATAACTTTTTATTATTAGAATTAGTGAGAGACTATAATAGAACTGCGTTAACTCTGGGAGGTAAATATAATGATTTGAGTAAATATTACCGTTTTTTATTACCTCGATTAGAGTAATGTAAAAAAATATTGTTTTTATCTAAAGAATATTTTGAAAAAATCAGTATTTCCTTAGTATTAAATATTATAAAAAAACATGTGTTTAAAAAAAATGTATCATAAAATAAAAAATAAGTATTTGAGTATAAAATAAAACACATTTATTATTATAATGTGTATACATCACATTAACTATGTTGTCTATAAATAGGGGTTGCAGCTGATATTTCAGCTTTATCTATAAACTTATTAGCTTCAGATTAATGTTGAAGCTGATCAAGTCAGTTTAATCAGCTTGATTGCTGAAAGTAATAGAAAATAATACCCTATATATATTTTAAATAAAACTTGTCAAAAGTTGTTGCTAATTATAAATGTTGCGGTCAGAGCCTAGGCCTAGGACTCACAATATTAGGGGACCCAAATTGGGTTTTTAGAAATTTGTTTAAAAAGTGGTGCCTAAAAATCTAATTCCATTTTTAATTATCTTAAGGAGACCAACTATCTTTAGTTCAAAAAGAGTACACTTTGCAAGTATTTTATAGGTGAAAAAAAAAAAAAGAAAAAAAAACGATAAAAACTTTTATTATTTTTAAAAACGTATTTTTCTTCAGAGTGGAATTTTTTTGCTAAATGAGGATGTTCGTCTAATAATGTAGCCGCATCCAACCATATTAAATTGCATATTAAATTTGACTGTTAAGATGGCAGATAATATTTTTACAGAAAGTTGCAACTTTTTATCAATTTATTTAATTAAATAAATGGATAAAAAAACTTTGCTGTACATACTACGCATGTGTCAAGATTATCAAGCATGCCATACATACTCCACATCAAAGATCAGCCTGGGGATTACATACAAATATTGGAGAGATAGATATATCCATCTCTTTTCACAAATGTAATTTTGACGTTGTTAGAAAAAGAAGTCTCTATAATCTCTCCAGGTACATAATTCGGCCTCTCAATTGTGCTGAAAGAGGCAGCCATATGTGCGTGCAAAATTTAAATCACTATTAATCTTGTGTCTGGTGTTTTGCCCTGTCCTCTGACATGCTGGAAATGGCAAGCAATATGCTCGGGTGAAATTCATATCACTGTCAAAATAATTTTAAATATTTAATTAATAAAATTGAAATAAAATAATCTAATGAAATGTTTTGGAAATACAAATGTGTACAAAATTATACAAATGAGTATTTTCAGAGAACAGGATTTGAAAAGAAAACGGTTTGTGAAAAAAGAGTACAAAACTCAGTAAATGAGAATAGTTGGTCACCTTAATTATCTACATAATTTTTTGGTAGATTTCAAAGTAAATATAGAAAAAAAGTAAATATTGAGTTTAAAATCAATCTTGCTGTTATCATATGTGATGCACCAGCTAGAGCATTTGTAAAATGTATTAAAGGACACAATGATTATAACTGATGTGAGTGTTGTGTTTAGAAAGAAGAGTGGTGTGGCAAGATAATTCTCCCACAAATTTCTCTAATTTTAAGCACTGATTCAGATTTTTTGTCATCAAAAGCATTCTGAACATCTTAGTGGTGTGTTAAATTGAATTAAATTTTGACATGGTGACAAAGTTTCCTTTAGACTTTATGCATCTAGTATGCTTAGGGGTAATGTGAAGATTTGTCAACTTATGGTTAAATTGCCCAAATGTTGTATATTGCCTCAGATTACAGTCAATACTTTATATGGCAGATTGTTCCAGATACGTCATTACATTCCAAGAAATTTTTATAAAAAAACAAGGTCTTAATTAGATATTAAAAAATGGAAAGCAACTGAACTTAGGCTATTTATAGTATACACTGAACCAGTTGTTTAAAGGGAATGGTTTAGCCAAAAATCAGTTCAAACTTTTTAGATTTTTTAGTTGTAGTTCTAATTTCATAATGTTTTATTTTGTTGAAAAAATATGTTAATTTTGCTTTTCAGCTACTTATTTTGTGCAGTTTTATATGTGAACTTTAAAACTTTCGTAAGGATCAACTAGTGTACAATGCCCATTCAATTTTAAGTACTTGATAGATGTCCCTCTTTTAAATACAAAACTTTTTCAGGTCAATTAAAAAGCTTGTTCAAAGACCAAAGGGTTGCTCAAATAAACGCGTACAAGAAGATAAACAGAAGTTTAGTATTCCTTATTTTGATAATAGTAATCATTGCATTGAGACGCTGTTTACAGTTTAAAAAGTATCAAGGTTTAGAGTTTTTGTTTCAGCTAATGAAAATGATAATTGTTTTGAAATTGAAAAAAAAATAAGGTAAAAGTAAAAAGGTTTTAAAAAGCAGAAAAATTTTATGACAAATAGCTTATGTTTGTGGAGTTTGCAATTTTTTAGTGGTTATATATATATGTTATTTAGTGGTTATATATTAGAGCTGTACCGGATTTAATTTTTCCAAATCCGGCCGGAGCCAGATTTTCCGGATTTCTACTAACAGATTCGGCCCGAATCGGAGCCGGAGTCGGATTTCAAAGCAAAACTACAGGAACCAAAATCCTGTACATACCTACTTAGTGCTGAAAATGGTCAACAATGTTGACTATTTAGATCACCAAGTGACAGTTGTTTTCTATTAAACATCATTTTTGTTGTTTAAAAGTTTTATAGCAATTTCTATAGAAATTAATAGGCATTTTATATAAATTCTATAGAGTTTCTATTTCTATAGAAATTAATAGACATTTTATTTAAATTCTATGGAGTTTCTAAATTCCATAAATTTCAAAAATTTAGAGAAATTCTATAGAACTTTTATTTCCGGGATGTTGTCACTCTACCACTTTAGTGAATCAGCGTGTCTATATATTTCTGATTCTTCCAGATATTGGCTTAGCTGAGTGTCAATGCCTGTTGGTAATTGTTGTTCATGTGCTGTGCCACAAGCGGGCGTATACTGAATAATTTCATCTATGTATATTGCCATTGTAATGATGCTAATGTATAAAAATTATCCAGCTAAGATTTTTTTGCTAGATTTTTTTTAATTTTGTCAATCTGCTGCTCAGTATGCTCATTGACTTTGCTTTTTCACCTGTCAGTGTTGCCTGTAATGAGAAGAGTTTAGTTTGAAATTATGGATCAACCAGTGTCACAACTATATAAAAAGGTTTCTTCTCAATGCCTTTAAAACGCTCATCCAATGACTTGATTAGGATTGACTTCACAGTCTTTACACCTGCATTATTGGAGAATTTCGTGTGTTTTCTCTTCAAAACTTATTATTGCGTTGTTGTTTAAAATTAGGCTTAGCTAATTAAATTGTAAAGAAATGTAAATACAGATACCAAAACAAACATGAAGTTCATAGACTATAGAATTACTAAAAATATGTCAAGGAGAAAGCGTGGTACTACTAATTCCATAATCGAGGATTATCTTGGATTTGGAAAAGATCCAAGTGGAATTAAAGTTAATTTGATTAATTCAGATATAGGTTTATCATTTTATTCAGTTTGATATTTTACTTTAGGATCGCAAATGCATTGTAACAATGCTACGATGCATCACGATCTGCATATAAATTATTTTAAATGTTACTCAAATCAAATAAAAGTCTAATCAAATATATTTTGAATATTGTTGTTATATATATCAAGGATATTTAAAAATAGTAATTTTTACTAATATAAAGTAAACACCTGTCAGACTAAATAAAAATAAGGTTGAGATATTAATAATAATTACAATACAAGTAGGAATAATAAAGTAATAGCAGTGATTATAGTAATAAAAAAAAATAATAATGGCGATTATAAAAAGTATATACTATAGCAATAATAGCAATAATAACAATAATAATAACAATAATAACAATAATAAAAATAGCAACAATAACAACAATAATAATATAAAAATAATAGTATAAAACTAGTTATAATAATAATAACAACAAAAATAATAACAACAGCAATAATAACAACAAAAATAATAACAACAGCAATAATAACAACAACAATAATAATAACAACATTAATAATAATATTCATTATGATAAAAATATAGTAATAATAACAACAATAGTGATAAGGAAAATACTATTGAAACATTTCAGTTTAAAATGATAAATTTAATAAATGATATTAAAATAGACTTTCTTCTAGAATATGCAGGTGAGTGGCAAAACCTTTAGACTAAAGGTTTTATCACTTAACTAAAATTTAGTAAAAATCTTTTTGTAAAGGATTTACAAAAAAAAAAAACTTAACGAAATTTTTTTTTAATTAAATGCATGAAATAAAAATACCTTTACATAGTTTTTTTAATTATTAAAGAGAAACAATTTCAGAATTTGAAGCACTACAAAGGGATAAAAAATCTAAGAAAAATAAAATTGGTTGCTTCATTTATTACAATATAGTTGGAAGCAATGGAAAATTTTGGTCAGTTTTTTTTTTTTTAATGTCTACTTAAATGTATAGTTCTAATTTTTATTTACTTTTTGTTGGCTACATCACATCATTGATTATTAAAATAGCATTCATTAATAAGTTTGATTTATCAAACTTATTAAAACCAAAATTTTTAATTAAAATTGGTTAGGATTTAACAGTGTTATAACACTATTAAATCCTAACCAATTTTAATTAAAAATTTTGGTTTCTTTAAGGTATGTCAACGATTCGCCATTTAAATATGCAAATGCAGCGATGAAACGTTATGTTTTGAATCAATCATCATACTTAGCTTTATTTGCAATTAAAGCCAAAAATATAGGCACAGAAATAAGCTCAGTAGTTTTTAAAAGCTAGTACAACAACTTGTAAAACAGTTACTACACTTCAAGTTTATTAGTATTTTTGTTTCATGATTTAATAGTTATGCACCCTAACCTAACTTAAAACATGCTAAATCGATTGTGATATCACAAAAACCTACTTATGCGTAATTTATTTTTAAAAAAGCATATTTTAAGTTGTGAATATATGCAGGTTTTTTTATTAATGTTGAAATAATGTTGCATTAAAAATTATAAATTATATCTCTAAGTTAAGTTACAAGTTAACTTAGAGTTAAAAAATATTTTTATATAGGTATGATTATGGAGATGATCCTAAGGAAATGCCATGACACAATAATGTATGAATTATTTTGTAAATGAAGTCATTGTTATTAATTATATGAATATATATATATATGAAACCCTAACCCTAACCCTGACCTATAATGATCCAATTTGTAAATACTTCCTATAATGATCCAATTTGTAAATATTTTAGTATCATATAAAATCTCTACCTCAAGTAAACAATTTTACAAATTCAATATGGTTTTAATAACATAAATATATTTTTATCTGTAGGTTTAAAAAATTTTATTACTTATAGTTATAACTACTTTTGATAAGATATATAGTTTTTTGTCTTTATTATGATGCCAACATATACCTTAGGTAGACATAAAATTTTTAAGATTTCATAAAAACATCTACCTTGAAAAGACACATTTTCAATAACATGTCTACAGTTATATATATATATATATATATATATATATATATATATATATATATATATATATATATATATATATATATATATATATATATATATATATATATATATATATATATATATATATATATATATATATATATATATATATACAGTTGCGAAAAATGAAATAGCACCACTAAGCGTATTTTCTTTTTTGTTAAGAAAACACCATGCAAAATAAAATTTTTTTATAGCTTTGCTGTTTAAAATATTAGCTAACATGTTTATTTTCTAAAAAAAATCATTTTGGGAAAAAAACTGTTTGGTGTTGCTCGATGTTAATCAGCAATGCCAATTCTGACCGAAAAATAAAATAGCACCGCATACTCTTTTGTAGTAAAATACTCTAATAACGGTAAAAATAATTGTGAAATAGCAAGCGTTGGAATTTTTTTTTGCTGTTTTATTCGTTTTATGTTAGTGCGTATTAGTTGGAGAAAAAAACAACACATAAAAATGGGATGCGGAAAGCATTATAGTGCAGAAAAACGAGAACTGATCCTAAAGTTGATATCAGCAGGAAAATCTTATAGAGAAGTTGGTTGTTTAGTTGAGTGTTCCAATAAAATGATAAGAAATGCCATAAAATTTCAAGAAATGCCAGAGACACGTGGTCGAAAATGTTCTATTTCAAGATTGCTGGCCAATCGCTTAGTCCGATAGGCTAAAAAGGAACCTTTTAAAACAGCTACCGAGCTGAAAAAGGACTTTAACATCAATGCAATGGTACAAACAGTTCGGAGTTGTCTGCGAGTTAATGGATTAAAAGCCTGTAGCCCCAGAAAAGTTCCACTTCTACGTGGCAGACATGTTGTAAAGCGTATTGCGTTTGCTAAAAAACACTCAAATTGACCGCTCAAAAAATAGAGGAATATTTTATGGACAGTCGAAAGTGCTTTATAGTGGAAAAGGCTCTCGGGCGTATGTCAGAAGACCGCCGAATGCAGAATACAATCCAAAATATACTATCAAAACTATTTAACATGGATATTGTAGTATAATGACATTGGCATGCTTTTCTTATTACGGAGTAGGGCCTATTCATCACATTACTACTATTATGGACCAACACGTTTATGTTGATACATTGGATAAAGTGATGTTGCCGTTTGCAGACTATGAAATGCCGTTGTCCTGGGTGTTCCAACAGGACAATGACCCAAAGCACTCTAGCAAGAAGGCAAAGAATTGGTTTGAGGAGCATAAAGTGAACGTTATGGAGTGGCCAGCACAGTTGCCAGATCTAAACCCAATCAAGAACTTTTGGGCTGATGTAAAGGAGGTGGTTGCTGCTGCCAACCCCACCACGAAGGAGTCACTTTGGAATGTAGTTAAGGAGACATGGAGCAAAACTCCGCTAAAGCGATGTCAAGATTTGGTTAACTTGAGGCCAAAATGTTGTGTAGCCGTCATTGCCAATAAATGTCATGCTACAAAATACTAATATGTTAAGAAATAACTTATATTTATTGTAAAATATTTAAAACAAATGATCTCATTATGTTTCCTTATTTTAAAGTACACATTAAAGCTGTGGTGCTATAATTTTTTTGTGTTTTATTTGATTTTTTTTTAATTTTTGTTTAATAAATGAATACTATATATTAAAACTTTTGTTTTTTATAAAAATTATAAGCCATTTTACTTTTAAATATGTATTTAAATGCTATTTTATTTTTCGCAGCTGTATATGCAATTTCTCTCATACACTTGTTCATCGACTACTTTTAATCACTGATATGGTTTATTTTTTTATTAATTTTTTTTTCTTATGATAGAAGTTTTTTCTCACTACTTTCAACTACCGATATATATATATTTTTTACTATATTGTATACATTTTTATTTTAAAATTACACAGTTTATAGTATATATTATTTTCCGTACTATAAGTCAACACCATTTAACATTACTTATATAGTTTTTTAGTAACAACTCTCTCATTTTTATAACTATGCAGGACCTGAAAAAAATACGTAAAACGTAAAACCTCTTGTTCATGAAGCAAGAGGTTTATCAATTTATAAAATGGTAAAGTGAGCTTATTTTTAATTTTAGCACTACTTTTAACATAGTAAAAACAAAAATTAACTGATTATAAAAAAATTCTAAAATTGTTTACCTTTCTAAACATTATTTTTAGAATATATTATTTGATATATTTATTATGTTATAACTATTTGTACTGCTTTACTTACATACTTATAATGATTATAATTTTCTAAAAATTATTTAAATAAAGTGTTGATAATTTATAGATTAAAAAACTAAAACCATCCTCAAGCTGCACTGAGTATTTTTTGTAAAAAAAAAAAAATTAGTTTTTAAATGCACTTTATATTGACTGGTTTCTTTTTGATTATGATAAATATATTTTTATGTAACATAATTATATTTTTACTAGTTCAATTTATTTTTATTTGACTTAAGTTTTAAAATTTTGTTAGCATTTAATTTATTTAAAAATCATACATTGCATAGATTGAAAGTGCTATAGATCAAGCAAGGTAATTTCAATATATATTTATTAATGTTTTTTAGTTTATTATTTTATTCTTATTTTTGCAAATGCTTGAATTGTACTTGAAATTAACTATATTTTTTTAGTGGCTTTTAACTCTACGTAATTTTAAAATTATGTAAATCATAGATTTTTGATGCTTTTGATTTTTATATTTACACCTACATAAAACATGTACTACTCATTTTTAACCTACTAAGTTGTTGACCTACTGTATTTTTGAGCTACTGAATTTTCATGCTATATATTTAACCTGCTGTATTTTTAATGCTATAACTACGCCTTTCTGGTGTGTATATTTTGTATATTATATTTGTATATTTTGTTGTTGATTTGAATACAAGCCAAATATGATCAGCCTTGGCGCAGTGGTTGAAGCGCTGTCTTTAGAATCAGTGGGTATAAGGTTCAATAATTGCTTGGAAAACTTGTTAATTGTTATTTAAAAAAAAAAGGTAAAATCACAGACATAATATTCAGTTTAATATTATTTAATCTCATATCAGTTGAAAACGAAAATTTATAAAATAGGTCAAAAAATAAATCATAAATTGGTTAAAGATTAAAAAAAACTATAAGCAGTTAAAAACATTTAAGGCTTCAGTTTTTTTATTTTATTTTATTTTTTTTGTACAGACAATTATGGATCCAAGAAGTAACATAAGTAACATAAGTAACAGATCCTACAAATAACATCTAGCTGTTTCAAGGCTAAAGATCCAATTTAGCCTTGAAACAGCTAGATGTTATTTGTAGATAAAGCTTATAATATTTAGCTTAAATTTTGGCAATATTTATAAAAAGCAGTTTAATTGTTGAGTGTCACTTACTGTAGTAGCAATAATGCATTTAAGATTGAATTTAAATATTTTTTTAATTTTGCATCTTTTTAGGATTCAACAGTTTTACCTTTGGATTCCACAGTTTTACTTTTGGATTCCACAGTTTTACTTTTGGATTCCACAGTTTTACCTTTGAATTCCACAGTTTTACCTGAGTCAATTAACTCTTATGATAAAACCAATGAAACCAGTTTTGTTATTAAAAAGAATATACAATCTAAGAAGAAGATTCATAGGCCATGTTTATTTTGTGAAGATGGTAAATTTCAAAGTGCCCTTACACGACATTTAAAGTTGTGCCACAAAGATGAGCCCACAGTGAAAAAAGCTTTATCTCTTCCTAAAAGAGAACAAATAGATGCTTTTGCTCTACTTAGAAAAAATGGAATTTTTAACCATAATTTACTCGAAATGAAAAAAGAAGTTCCAAAATTTATTAGAGAAAGAAAAGCTAACGATCATCATGCTGATGGTGAAAATCTTGTAATTTGTGCTGCGTGTAAGGGCTGTTATGCAAAACCATATAAGGCTAAACACCAAATTTATTGTGGTCGAGATAATGGCCAAGTTATGATTCTATTAATGCCAATTGAAGCAATGGGTAAAATTGACAGTCTAGATAATGACTTCAAAGCAGTTATCAAAAAGATGATCCAGGATGATATATCTGCATTAGCTAAAGGTGATCCTACTATTATTATTATGATAGGTGCACGTATATATAAAGCTAATAAGTGTAAAAAAGAGAAAAAGTTTGAAGTAGAAAAACATGTCAGAGGAACTATGCGGCAACTTGCTAGACTTTATAGTACTTTTAAAAATTCACTTGTTTCATAGTTTGATGCATCTGATATGTTTAAAAAAGAGAACATAAGTCATTTAAATAATGCTATACGTGAACTGAAAATATAAATGGAATGAAGTCAGGCTTGAAAGTTCATCTCCAAAATGTTATTAAACAAGTTGCGAATATGGTACAAGTTCATTTTATGGTAGAATCTCGAAACAAAGAGGCTGAGATGGTGAGGGATTTTATATCAATATTTTCTGTAATTCAGCATGATCTTTTCGGAGATGCTTTATACCAACTTCACCAAAAAAGAAACAAATCGACTCGAAAACCAGCAAATTTACCTCATAATCAAGCATTAAAATTATTACAAAACTACTTAAGTGAGGTAGTAGACAGTAGTTTTTTTTCCTTAAAATTTCCAAGTTCTGTGTTTGTGGATGTGAGAGATGCTGCATGTAGAAGGATTACGTTTTTCGTTGTGGTGGTGAACCAGCTAGACTTTTTATTTATCAGTGGAAGGAAGCTATTGCTGGAACATGGTTGGGAGAAGCAACTAGAAGGTCATACATTAATGAAATATCAACTGGGAATTGAATTACTTTTCAGGAAGGAAAAAGAAATAAGCTAGTTCCTGTGTTTATTCCTCCAGATCTTGTATCTGCAATTGAATTTGTAAGCTCAGAAGCAGCAAGAAAGGATTCTAGAATAGCTCCTGAAAATCAATACTTATTTCCATCTACAATTGGGAGTGATAATCATATTTCTGGCTGGCATGTGTTAGTTTCTTGTTGCAAAAAAGCTAATGTTGATGGAAGGCTAACTGGCACTATGAACAGACATAGAGTTTCATCTCTAATTGGAGCTCTTGGTTTATCAGTGTCAAATCAACAGCTTGTACATGACCACTTTGGACACAGTGGTGATGTAAACAAAAACATATATCAAGTGCCCCAAGCAGAACAGCAGTTAAGAACAATAGGTTTTTGTTATTATTATTATTATTAAATACCATGCTTGATTAAAACTGGGTATTCAGTATTAAGCAAACAAGGTTTTTGTTATAAATTGTGTATTTGATTTTAATGAATATTTTTGTTGAAAATTCTTTAACATAAAATTTTGTTACATAAAAAGGTTGTATTTTTTGTTGTTGCCTTTTTTAAGTTTTATTTTTATTTTTTATCTTCAGGTCAGTTTTTAAGAAACATTGACCAGGGTCTCTCTGATTCTTCTAGTTCCATAAATAGTGATTTAAAAATAAGGAAATTGTCTACGATCGCAGATTTAAAGCCAGAAAAATCAAGAGATGCTAAAAGTAAAATTATTTAATAATCTCAGAAATAATATATATATAGTGTTAAGATCGTTTTATATATATATATATATATATATATATATATATATATATATATATATATATATATATATATATATATATATATATATATATATATATATATATATATATTTATATATATATATATATATATATATATATATACTTAATGAATGTTTAATACTTACCAAACCAATCATTGAAATTTTTACAACTAAAAATCGTAACTTGAATCTAAAACTTTTTTTTAAGGATGCGCTAATTTATCTATTAATGAAGTGAAAGATAAGGATGAGGACATTGAGAAAAAGAAGGAAGACACTCATCGCGTTAAAAATAAGAGTCAAATCTGGTAACTTGTGCCTTAAATTAAATTTAGTTTATTGTTGTTAAAAATGTTACTAATTTATAAATAAATGTTTTAATGTTTAATACTGTTTTAGTTTTGTTACTTTAATTTTTTGACTTTTAGAAAAAATTTATTTTCAATGGACGGAATGTCAAAAGAGACTATTTGCAGCTACCTTTCAGAGCTTTATAGCTCGTGATAAAGGATTCCCAAGTATGCTTTATTATCTGATTATGGATTTTTATATTTGCTTAATAAGAATTACAACTAAATTAATTTTTGTTATTTCTGCTCTTGTATTTATTTATTTTTTTTGCGAATTTTTTTTTTATATATACTTTATAATAGCCCTTTTAATTTTTTTTTGTTTCTTTGCTTTTATTTTCATTATTTAAAAAAGCTCGTCTCATTTAAAGATTAATTCTGTTTTTTTCTGTTTTGCTCTGAATTGGTTTACATCCTGAGTTTTTCTGGGTATCCAGAGCTTTGAATATTAGTTAAACTTTTAAGGTGGTAGACTGCTAAAAAAATTATTTTTGTATTTTACAATATTTCAATAAATTTTTTTACTTCGAACATGATAAATACATTAGAAAATTCATAATTTTTATTATTATTTTTTTTTTTCATATATATTTTGGGCAAAAACAGGTGATTTTAGGCCAAAAACAGGCTAAAATCTTGGCAAAGAAATCTCAAAAAGTATAATTTAATAAGTTCTAATTTTTTGTATTTTTATTTGTTTTATGTAGATAAATGTCCTGAGATAAAAATTTTTGTTGAAAATTTCTTTATTTTAAAGCATCGTTAGATTTTTCTAAGCGCCCAATTATTAATCGAATTTCTGATATTAAGAACAAAAAGTTTGTTGTTTCAAAAGTTTATATTCTAAATTTTTTTTATCTCAGGACATAAATCTTATTATAATGAATCTCTGTACAAAATTTTAAGTCAATTGGACAATTACAGCTCCTGCAATTTTTGCCAGAAAATTAGAAGAGTAAAACAGAGAAAAAAGCATATAAAATTAAAAATATTGAATATACAAACTTATTAAAATCCCCCTTTTTTATATACTGCTCTTCTTAATTTTTGTATTTTTTATCAAACCCTTTCCTAGTTGCGTTAAGATTTTTTCTTTGTTTTTTAATTTTTTTTATTACTAACCTTAACTAGCGGTTGCTATGAGCGTTTCTAGAGGAAACAAAATTACCCTACTAATATAAATCACTTATTAGCTCTAAATTTTTTTTCTCATACGAAGATCTATATATTTTTAGACTCTACATCAATTATTGTTTAAAACAATGCCACTTTTGAAAAATCGTTTTTTTCTAACTTTTTTAGCAGTCTACCTATAACCTATAGTCTACCTATAAGCAGTATACCTAAAATCATGTTAACATATTTTACTAGTTTGCTTAATGAATTTATATAATTTTTGCAAAAAATAATTTTTTGTATATCCATCATGTCCGTCTATAAATTCGAGATGTATTCGCACCACGAAAAATCATAGTAGTTAAATAAAAAGGTTGAAGTTTTATGAAAGGGTCTTCTTATGATTGTTTTTTGCATTAAGTTTTGAACTATAAAATCCAACATTACAACTAATTTGTAGAAACTTTTGGAGAAAAAAATTATCTACGTCAGTTCAGTTTATCCAAAATAATTTAGTTTTTTTTGTACTATACACTATATAAAGAAAAACTCATAAAAAAAACAACCGATAAACGTATAACAGACTTTAACGTATAACCTGTATAACGGTCTTATGTGTCGTATGGTATTAAAAGATAATAATTTTGCAAGTAGGCTAATTAACTATTTATCTTTTTTTAAGGTCGTGATAAAATGAACCTTTTTGCTGATAAAAACGTAATTGCATTCGAACGCGTATTGTAAACGAACGTGCACTAAGAAAAAATAAAGAAAATGTATATCTTAAGCAGCATATGGCTATGAGATTGTATTTTTGCTGTGTTTTTATTTCTGTTTTATTTAATAACCTCAATATGCATCTTACATGTAAAACTTTTTTCCTAAAAGATGGCCTCCTCTACCTTAGACAATTAATTAAACAATTTTATAACAAAGTTTTTTTATAAAAACTTAAACAACTATTTAACTCGTAACCACTAAATAATAGTCGAGTTTAGCGTAATATAGTTGGGTTAGAGATAAACCGAAAAACTTGTCATCGAATTTACTTAGTATAATGTTAATATTGGTCTTTTTTAAAATTGTTTTTTTTTAGTATGTTAATACAAAAAACTGCTTATACAAGATTGTAAATTTCGAAATCACTTTGAATATTTATTTGTTCACTAGATATTGAACTTCAAAGTTAGACAAATATTTTAGAATTATTGACCAAATGGTGTTGAAAACATTTTCAACTTTAAATTAGAACAAAGTACGTTCTTTTTGATGGCTTGTCTAATTATCATGCTTCAAAAGTGCGCAAAAATTAAATTTTCTTGCCATTTTTGATTTTCATTTTTACCTAAAAAAATTTTTTTTTTTTCTTTCAATAGCTCAAAGTCTTAATCTAGTATAGTACCTTAAAATACAAACATTTATGAGAAATAAAGAGTATGTCTTATAATTAAAATTTATAACTCTATTGCGTAGTTAATGCATTAAAAGCAATTTTCCTAACCTCATAATGGTCTAAGCTCACTTTTCAGTAAAAATTATACACAAATTATACACTTTTCAGTAAAATTATAAATATTGGGAAAATATGCAAAGTTACATAGCGTTCAAATAGACAAAAATTTATATTGGAGAAACCATATTCAACACAATGAAATAAAAATATTATCTGTAATATGTATTTTATTTGAATCTCCCTCATTACTTGGTTTCTGTTCAAGAAAAAACTATACTTCAGTCTTATTCGTATTTATCTCAATTATGCTAATACACACAAAACAAAATTAGTTACAATTACAAGTCTTGCAAAACCATACTTGTAGAGCAATTCAGTGTCTAAGTGAAATGGATGATCCTTTTAATGTGATGACAAATATAAATGTCTTAAACTTGGTAAAACTTAATTTAGATTTCTACTTTCATGTTTAAATATAAAAATAATATGGTACTGAAATACTTTTTATACATTTTTTCGTCATTCTTTTACAAAAGATAAAATTTGCCATCAAATACTTTTCATAACTATTATACTAAAAAAAGTAAAACCCGGTTTTCTGAATTATCAATTAAGTCATTAAGGCCAAAACATGGAAAAACCTGAAAACCCATAATTTAAATAGCTTTAAGAGAATATCATCGTTTAAACAGCTAAATGGCAAAACTTTGTTCATAAAAATATTTAACATTTGTTACTAAAAATTTAATTGCTTTAAAGCATACGAGTAATTGACCTTTGAAGAAAAAACATTTTGCTGCTAAAAATGGCTGCCGCTAACAACATCCGCCTCCCTAAAAAGTCGGAAAGTTACATTGCCGCATTATCAACTCTGATAGTGTAATCAGAATTTTTTTTTTCTACTGTATTGAAACCTAAACTAAAAAAAAAAAATGGCGGAGAAAACATAAACATATATTTATATACCGTCTCTTGAAACCTTTATTTTTTAATTGAGTTTCTTAAAACACTTAATACGATGATATTCTCGAATACGATGATATATCGAAAATTTTTAAATTTTCAAAGTTTAAATATTATTTAAAAGAAAAATCCAATTAATAAATTTTGTTTTATGTTTTTTTGTAAGAATAATTATTAAAAAAGATACGTTTTTAAATTAAAATGAAATAGAGCAACGACTTCATTTTATTTTCTCCTAACATAATTTAGGGTGGAATGCAAGAAGCAAACGTTCGACTTGAACTTTATTTTGTAACCAATAGAGCCAGAGTATTTTTTGAGGGAAAAACCCATACTATCGGTTATAATGTAAAGTTCAAGTCGAGCTTGACTCAAGTTCGATTCTTGCATTCCACCCTTAGTGAACAAACGCGCGCGTAAACTCTAACACAAATCTAACAAAGCTAAAAATAGGAAAAAACAGTTAGCTTTTAAGTTTGTTTTTGGATCAATATTTTTTCCAGTGAGCAAATCCAGATTTCGCATTTCTTGTCAAAATCATAACCCAAATTATTTAAATTTATTTAAACAGTTTATACTCATTTTCTTGCAATAATTCGCGATAGATATTTAATTGAATATTTTTATTATATTAAATAATTACTTTTAATATATTTTAGCAAGATATGCTATAACTTACCACAGTTAAAAACAAATTCGATATTCAAACATTTATTATTTTCGGATCAGGATTTAAAAAAAAAAACGCAAAACCTGAATTCGCTCACTGGAATTTAGATTCAATCTGTGTTTTGTGTTTAAAAGTCCTGATTTGTTAATGTAATTATTTCTTTAAAACGAATCAGTCTGGTTTTAAAAAAGTCGCCATCAAAATTTTATAGGGACTTTTTTAATTTAATGCTGAATTCAATTTCGTTAATTTTAATTTAATGCATTTAATTTTCAATTTAATGCATTTAAAGCATTTAATGCTGAATTCAATTTCGTTAATTTTATTAAATGAAAAACAATATTTTAGGCAAACAGTATAAAAAAACCCATCTATTTGGGTTTTTTAATACTGTTTGTTACTAAAAATGGAAAATAAATTTTTTCCTGGGTTTTTTTTTTAGATTTCATATTTTTTGAGACCCAGGTTGACTATATTTTAAATAAATATATTCAACCTTGATCTTAAAAAATAGAATATTTATTAACACCCAAGTTGACTTTATTTTGAATAAATATAGACAACCTGCCCAGCCGGCAAATAACGTTGAAATAACGTTGAAATATTGTTGAAACCTAACGTTGAATTAATGTTGGTTTAACGTTTAGAATGAAAGTTTTTTTCAACGTTGATTTATCAACGTTAAATTAACGTTAGGTTCAAACGTTATATCAACGTTGATTCGACGCGAAAAAACCTTACAATAACGTTGAATTAACGTTGATTTAACGTTTAGAATGAAAGTTTTTTTCAACGTTGATTTATCAACGTTAAATCAACGTTAGATTCAAACGTTATATCAACGTTGATTCGACGCGAAAAAACGTTGCAACAACGTTGAATTTACGTTGATACAACGTTTAAAATGATAGTTTTTTTAACGTTGATTTATCAACGTTAAACGACTGTAAAACACTTTTTCACCATCAAAACGTGCTATGTATGTCAAAATGTATATATGTATGTAAACGTGCTATGTGCGTCAAAATATGATCACCATCAAAACGTACTATGCATGTACATTAGTGTTGCTGTACATTATCAAGGTATATAATGGATATTAAATCTATTCATAGTCTATACTTAGACTATTTAGAACTTTTTCAGTTTAGTTTAGTTAAAATAGCTATGTATGATTAAAGAAAGAGATAAAACTTGTTTTATTCAAAAATACATATTCAAATATTACATATATTTACATGTAATTGAATAAAATCTACACAAATTTCTTCTCTTTTCCACCACCTTTTTGAAATAAAGCGTAATTTAGAAAGTCAAACAATGTTCCGAGGGTTTTTTTGGTCCATTGAATACAATAAAAGAAGCTGTAAATAAAAAAAATTTATTAAAAAAATCAAAAAGGGAAGATTTATATAAATAATTAATGGAATAGTCTTACAACTTATGAAGGTATATCTTTTACAACGCCATATAGATTAGTGTTCTTTAAACATATTTTTCCACCTTTGCCCTTCATATCCATGGAGGCCATATAACTTTTCAAAAATACTCTGAATTTTTAAAAAATAGTATAACTGTTAGTTGGTTGTTAATAACTTTTTCAAATATGTAATTTAAATAAAACAACCTTTTTAATAAAAAATAAATTATTTATCAAAATATAAAACATTTCTAGCATTGAAAAATAATTTTCGGGGTTACCACATAAAATTTTTATAAGAAATTTTATGTGGCCATTTATTAATGGTTTAACGTCCATGTTTATACACTTATGGGGCTTGGACAGGGATCAAATAATGTCATTTGTTATGTTAAATAGCATGCATTTTCTAAAGCAATTTTTTACAATTCCATGCACTTTAAGGCGTTAACCAGTTTTGCAGACCGAGAATGGGTATTTTGAACATTATACATCCTTCAAAAATTAAAAAAGGAAGAATTAATGAGGAGCTTGGATCAAATTTTTACCTCTTTAGAGGATAATAGAAGATTTTAGAAGTAGTTTTAAAAAAAGAGGACTTTAGAGGATTTTAGAGGAGCTGCAGACACCCTGATTATAAATGAGGTAATTCCACCAATTAACTGTAATTGATTTATCTGTAAAAAAACATGAAGTAAATCTAATATTATGCTTGTGGAGAGATATTATATTGTGGAGAACCATCCGAACCACACAAGTGGAAAATTTGAATCCAAGTTTCCACTTGTGTGCAAATCTTGCATCCACTTGTCAACATTCTCATTATTACATTTTTCTTTTGTAGTTGTGAATTTAAAATTTTCACAATACTGTTTGCTTTCTTTTAGAATTGAAATAGTTATACAAATATTTATATATTTTGTATCAACAAAATAACTCTTCTTACCACATTATTTAAAAAATAATAATTGTAATATATAGATGTAATACCTGAAGAGAATTTAGTTTTTATTTGTATAAACTAAAGCCAATTCTTCTCTGCATTTTAGTGCAGTCAATGCTTTGGTACCTGGAAGCCGACAAACAGTTTTATCACTAATCCAATTAGATGGAATTACTTCTTCTTGTAAATCTTCATTCCAAACAGCTCCTTTCCGCATATTCGATTTTGAAAAAATTACATGAACTAATATAAAATGAAGAAACCATAATATAAGTGTACTAACAGGCCTAATTAAACTAGCTAAGTTTGAACATTTTATAACCATGATACTTGCTAAACAATAATATTAGTAGACGATATAT